ACGAAAGAAAGGAAAACGTGAATCGCATGGAGATGCGAATTAATGAGAAAATTAATTGGTTAAAAAGGAGCGAACCACGATTTTCACTCTGTGTGCGTACGAGGCGTTTATCAGATGGTGCGGATAAAAATGTGTCATGAGTGAAAATGCTCGCGTCTATATACATTTTCAAAACTCTCTTGCAGCGTTTCTCTGCGAAAGAGAATTTTTAGTAGAACAAACAGATGGAATGCAAAAGGCCGCGGCGAAAGAGAAATGCATATAGAGAGGTTTGTCTTTATACATTCCTATTAATAAACAACGAAATGTCAATCCGAGGAAAGAGCAAAACTTGATCTGCCGCGAGTGAGTGCCACTGGGAAAAGAAACGCGGAACTTGCAACGGGTGACTCCAATCCAATAAATTATTATTTCATATTTCAAGAACGCAGCGGGACGTGCAGAATTAAAAAAATCCTATACTTCATAAGTTGGACAGAATTTTAAACCACTGCTCTCATCTTTTCAGATAAAAATCTGCACAAACCTTATTCATAATTTTCCAATTCTTTTTTACGTGTTTTAAGGAATTTAAAGGTCAAGCGAGTCGTTTAGTTTAATTACACATAAATCATCACCTAGGTTCTTTTTCGCCGTGATTCATGTGCGCGCTGAAACAACATCCTCTTTAACAATTAATAAGGCCGGCCGTTTATCTGCTGTCCTATGCGCAGCACTGCTATTTGTGTAAACATATAAAAGTAACGGCGCTGAAAACAGTGGAAGAAGAGTGGAATCTCGTGTTTGTCCCCTCCAGAGAGCAGCTTCCATTTTCCGAGTATGAAAATTATGTGTGGAATTAAGTCTCCGTTGGCTGGACGAAGCTCAACTCTGCAGCGACTGCGGCAAATTAAGGTTAAAAGTAAAATTCGCCGACTGATGCTTCCCATCTCGACGCCTTCTAAAATTTTCTGCAAATAAACCCAAAATATTCAAATTTTTCTCCAAAAAATATATATATAATTTAACGGCCGCCAAAGTTTCAATTACTATTTAATTATTATCAATAACATACTAGGGTTACAGTTAGTATGTAAATTATTAATTTCAATAAAATCTATGCAATACGAACTTAATTATTGTATAATGAATACATTTCTGAAAATTTCATGTGTAGCGTTTTAATATATAATATTAGCAAAAGACAAAAACATTGTAACTAAAATAGGAAAATTACAGAAAGAAATTTTCAACCCATTTATTGAGGAACAGCTTGGTTTTAATTCTAAATAATAATAATAATAAAACAATGTTTAAAATCAAATCATAAAATTACAAGTAAAAAAAAATAAATATGAAATATTGTATTTAAAATTAAAGGATTTTTTAATTTTTAAATAGTCGTCTGCTTTACTGAGAGAGATGTGAATGTAAAACAATCTGTTGGCTCTCGTTGTTGATCCACGTGGCCCCAAAACGGGCTATTAACGCTGCGTCCATTTGAACCACAAACAAAAGGTCGCTTTTGTTCTGCGACCGATTTAAAGAAGGAAAGAAACTGGACAAGTGCGCTGCAAATAATAAATAAATGCACTTCTACTCTGTGTGTGTGTGCATTACGTACACTTTAATATATATCGTTTGTTACGTCAGCAGCAGGCAGTTCACTGGGTCTGTGTGCTAAGCCCGAGATGTGCCGTTACACCGCACTCGACTGTGCCGTAATATCCAGCAGCGAACGAACGAGAGAGGCTCTCTTTGTGTATTTTCCCATCCTACCGGCCGCGGCCTCCATTCATCCCATGTGTACCGAGTCATACATACAAATATACAACACGCGTATGCTTCTTGTTTTTTACCCTTTTTCGTCTGGCCGCCGCCGCCGAGACAATCGATGCTGCAATGCCGGATTACGCCATAGCTGCGCGCTCCGATTTATTTTCATTTTATTTCGAGCAAGTTGGCCGTGAATTATTCTCTCTGCCAAGTGGTGCATGCGTCCAATTGGTCACCGGCGAGACTCGAGTGAGCAAAATTAAATTAGTATCAAATCAAGTCAGTCGCTCGACCACGTTTACCGATGCAAAGTACGCAAAGTACATTATTCAACAAATAAAAAACATCTGGCGTTTCATCAACTCAATTGTTAGAGTTTCCATTGTAATGAGGTTTTTAAATGAGGATTTATTATTTTCATTGAATTAAAAAATATAATTCTCATCCAGCTATATTTAAATTATTTAAAAATAAAATAGGTAATTTAAAAAAAAAATATATATTCTTAATGCTCCCTTTTGATTTAAATATTGCCAAATTAATGACAAAATAAAATTTGATAAATGCAATTAGTTTTTTAACAATATGATAGACTCACTTTGTGAATATCCATAAAAATCATTTTGTATTAGAAATAAAAAGGAAGACATTAGAATAAAATTTATTACTTTTATTAGTAAAAGTAATAAATATTTTCAATTTTTATTTAAAAAAAAAATTACGTACAGCCTTTTTTTAAAATAACTTAATTTTACTTTATAATTCAGAGATATCACATCAGCCACCTGGATCAAATCATTTGTACCTCGAAAGCTGCTCGAAAGCTTCCAATATATTTAAGGTTTAATGAGGATAAAATATATTAATATCCCTAACGAGATATAAGTGCTTGGACTGAAGATAACAAAAGCGATGTTTTTTGTAAAGGTGTCTATTCATTTGTCATTTGCCTAATGCTTTGTTCCTCCACTCCTTTCAACACTAACCGACTGGGCTTCAATGAAGAGCGGCACATACACAATTAAAAATGTAGGTAACGCATTTTATGGAGCTTCGTTCATTCTTTCTTGGTCGTCGATTTTTATGTTCTTAACACACAAATGTTTATCACCGCTCGCTTCTCTTCTTACTTACCATCCTCGCATTTTATTATTCAAATAGCTCTCAGAAAAGCCGAAACATAAAAATCCCTCGGAAGGCGTCGTCCTCTCTCTCTTTCTCTAGCTCCATCCACCGGTAAGCGATCATTACCAACGGATGGAGATATCAAATTTCTGAATTCTCATCCCGACTTTCTTCCCACACGGGGGAGAAAGAAACAAGGTCGTGGGCATTTTGGATTTCGTTTTTTTTTTACGAGCTCACGTTCTTTCACCGAGATGAGAATCGTCGACTTTTGATTCCCTTTACACAATTTCGATTATTAAGAGGTCCGCCGCGTGGAATGTATATCATAATCATAAATTATCTTTCTCACTCTCCCGGAGCAGAGACGCCTCTGATTAAAACTTTTGAGGTCTTGAGCAAGAGAATAATAACTTAGGTTGTCTGCTTGGTATTTCGGGTCCAACTTCTGTTAGTTGAAAATAATAGTACTGCTTTGCATGCTTGGATGGTGCGGCCATTCCGCAGTAAAATTTCGCCTTGCTGTTATGGAAACGAGGTTGGATGGCGACTGTTGGTTAGGCAATACCAGTGCGCGAATGTTGCGAGGGAAGTCTAACTTCTGCTGTATTGATCCATCTGCTTTCAACAGATTGCTTTATAAAAAAGTAGAAGCAAAGTATTGATTTAAAAAACTTTTCTTTGCCTTAAAAGCATTTCATTATTCGGAGCCAATTTATTTATTTCTGCCGGAAGTTTGGCGAGGAATATTTTAAGATTTAAGATTGAAGTTTAAAGTTAAATAAAAAAAAACTTTTATGCGAGCCCGCATTCTTTGTTATTTCATATTGCAAAATAAGCACCTGTTATATGTATAATTGTAGGTAAAATAGCAAAATCCGCTGACTGAATTGTACAGTTTAAAATTTCATTGGCCAGAAAAAAAATCGAAATTGCTTGGTGAATGAAAAAGAGAGACATGGTGGTGTTAAATTATATTAATTACTCTTCACAAGATACAAAAAGTTGATTATTTTCCAGGAGTAAAAACTATGTCATTATGAGAAGACAAACAAAAATGTAAAATTGCTTGATTTTATTTTTTGCACTCTATGCCTGCCATGCCTGGAAATACAAAACATCTTACATCAAATCAATATATATATAAAATTAAATTAAAAACAAAAACTGAATATAAATAAGAAATATGTTGGTTTTTAAAGAATTTACTAATATTAATTTCATTATGGATTTATAACAGCAGAAAATTTACTTTTGAATTCTCAATGATAAAAAATAAAATCCTTCTACAAGTGCTGCCTTTTGTCCAATATTTTTCCTAACAATTTTTTTTTTTAATTGAATATAAAAGAATTTATGGTGGTTATAGAAATAGTTGGAATCTCATCAATGAAAAAAAAAGAAACTAAAACAATATTATTTTTTTTTTCACCTTCAACTAGCCTGTCAACTTATCTTAAAAAAATTTGCAAGGCAATTTTTAAAGTGGTGCGCGACGAAATACAATCAGTCTTTTCAATTCATTTTAAGGATTCGATTTTTTCAATCTGCCAGGTTTTACTGTGTACAAAATGATAACGAAATAAACATAAAAATATTTAGAAAGTTCCAATGAAGGAGGAATGTTTAAACAATTTAACTTGACCATTCATCACTTTATTGAATTCTTCATATTCTTCTGCTGGTTTTTGATTATAGAAAAATGCATCATCCTCTTGACATGTTTCAGTTGAAACCATACTTCATGATAATTGATGTAGTACAATTAATAGTAATCAATACTAATATTGATAATTTCATATTGTTAAAGCTAATAATCAAGACACTAGAGACGGGAAACTAATCGTCATAAAAGAACATACATTTTAATAAATCCTAGATTAGATTTAGATTTCAAAAATATTTCTCTTAAAAGAACAGAATAAAACTATAAATTGATACAGAAATTCACAGAAATTTGTGATAATGAATTAAAAACATTTTTTTTTTTTTTAATCTTTAAAAAAAAACGTTTTCCTGGATTTGAAAAAAAAATAGTGAGACGAAAACGTGCTCTTTCAGTTCTTTAAATAATAAAGATCCCCGTCGTAATGATCTCGCATTACCTTTGATTGTTTCAGAGAATCCTCGCGTCGGCCGGCCAGGTCGCGTCACCGTCGTAGTTCAGGTTACGGGCAGTCAGGGCAGGAGCGTTGGTCCACAGGGAGGCAGACAGCATAGTTTGACGGGCGCAAGTCAGGTGGCGCCTGGCAGCGGAGTTGCGGCGGCGGCGGCGCGAGTCGTCGGTCGTTGTCGTTGGCCGTGGCCCCCGAGTCGGGCACTGCCGAGTGTGCTGCAGTCATCTGCAGAGGAGACGACGACCGTGCGAGCAGAGCAGGTCGCGCCGGCTCGAGCGAGCAAGAGACAGAATTTGAGAAACGAGAAGGAGGAAATTCCGCGGAAATCATGTGCCGGTTGAAGCAGTGTAGTGCCCTGAGCATGCGAAAAACGATCCTAGTGCTCGCTGTCGGACTTGTGCTCATAGCTGAGCCGGCCCTCGCGGCGCCCAAGAAGAGCGTCAAGCAAAAACTGCAGGAGGACCCTGATCTTTCTCAGGTGAGTCTAGAAAAAAAATTGAATTTAACCAAAATAATCAAAGTGATACAATTTAATTTAAATTCAACAAAAATTAGCAAATTTATTTTTATTTCTATTTCGTAAACGTTTTTAATTTTTTTTTACTGAAACGAGGAAAAAACTTTTTTAAGATAATAATTGTCTGGCATTATTACAAGCGAAATTAGCCAATTTTTGCTCGTTGCTCGGATTTTCTCTCCGTCGGTGTCAAAAAATAAACACGCTCAGGGTACGCGCCTGTCCCGTTCAAGGTCAGGAAGAACGCCAGCCAAAGGTATAATAACACATGATTGAGAGAGTTCTTCTTTCGTACACAGGCAGGTGGCCGAGGGCATTACGTCTCCGCGCTCGAAAATAATAAACGGCGAGTGAGAAAAGACGCAGTGCCACGGTTGTGACGCCGTAATTACATCGTTTGAACCGCACCAGCGTTGATTTGAATTAATTTTGGAAAAATGTGGTAGTGACATTCCCTTTTTAGTAGGGCGATGCGCCGTCATCGTAAAATTATAGCGATTATACGTTTTCACCAACGAGTGGTGGCTTCGGGTCAAGTAGAAATATGTAGACTGGTGTGGAACAAAGTCTATGATTTTATTTAATTCGGTAAAAAAAAACTTCTGACGATGGATCTTACATTAAAATATGATTAAATACTTAAAAAAATTATTTTCATAATTTTGAATTAAATTAACTTCTCTTCTTTAAAAATCAGGCCTCTTAACTCTTGAAATAAAAATACCTTGATTTAATTTCACTTTTATTGAATTTAAAAATCATTAAAAAATTTTGCTTATAAAACCAACTTTTCCTGGAAATTTTTGCCAAAAAAATCAAGCCTAAAATTAATCATTTTTCTCCAGTTTAAAAAGTGATGAATTCTGTGAATTTCAGTGGTTCTTGCTGAAAAAAGTTGCTTGCGGTCGCATTGGTTTCCATTCCACACCGCAAAATAAATACCTTGTTATAATTTGCATTCATAAAAAAACTTTTTAAGGACTAAAGAGGAATTAATCCTCCTTGGAATAACAATAATTATGACGCCTTAAATAATCCCACGGTCGGTTTTTCTCATACAAAAGAGGGCCCCTAATTTACTCGTCTATTCCGCGTCGGTAGCTGCTATTTATCGTATATTTATCAAGAGTCAGGCAAAGAAACCATTAAGTGCGGGCATCGTTTTTGTTGTTTGTGTTCTCAACTATATAAAACCTCCAAAGAGCTACTTTATTCAGCATTCCGAAGCAAAGCCCTGGAAAATTATAGACCAAATAACGAGTTTCTTTTCACTGGAAATTCCAGTCGCGGGATTGAAAAAAATAAAATCGTTTAATTAGTCATGACTTTGAAATGTGCTGCGGCAGACGAAAACTAAACGTTTCGCACACACCTTTAATGAATCACGCGAATTTTTTGCGTTTGCGTGCACGTTTTCTTCCCGTCTTGATTAATTATTCAGGCAGTTTGATGCACGTACAATTTCGCGCCATGCAAATGAGACAGGCACCTGCACACGCTGTTTCCGATCGTTTACAAATGGCGGCGCCTTTTTCGGTTATACACACGGACAAAACCACCGGGCTCGTAAAAAAGTCATATACGCGAAATTTGATGTACGATAGGAGATGGATGTAGACGCGACTGGTTTTCCAAGCATGTAATTTGCTGCTGGCGTATGAAAAAACACGTCCAAAAGTGGAAAGCTAAATTATTTATGTGTGTGGAAAAAGTTTACATTTTATGCTTTGAAGATAGCATGAATTTACCAAGAAACAACGAAAATTGCAATCCTGAGACACAAAAAAATAATAAATTATTCATCAATTAAAGTCTCTCAAAATTATTTGATTAAAGCGACTCTTATTTAATTTATTTATTATGTTTCATTTATTTATTATGTTTCATTTATTATGTTCATTTGAATTTCAATTTCCCTACAGAAGTATAAAATTGCATATTATAGAAATTTAAGTTAAGGATGAAGCAGAGGCTTTGGTGTGCTTTTTGTCCTATTTCTAAAGCAGCTATAATGAATTTCCCATCCAACAGTTAATAATCAAACTGTTTTTTAAAAATGATAAGAGTTTATAATTATTCTCCATTACTGTGAAAAATGAACAAAAATAACGAATCATGGCACATTAAAAATTTATAGAACTATTTAATTAAAAGAAATTAAATTGTCCTGTTACAGTATAAATAATCTAGATTTTGAATTAACTTTTGGAACATGAAGTAAAAATATTTTATACATAATTATATAACAAATCAAAAGAACCTGCAGCTATGTATAAAAAAGGTGTAGATTTCAAAAAAGGATTTAGGAATTCCTGTCTCATTCATTTTCATCATCTTGTCCAGCAGGCCAAACTAATTTGCTAATCATGTCATCGAAAACACAACTCGTGATCAGAATCCCAAACGGCGGCTCGCGAATTTTCGAGGTGCCACGCCCGAAATTCCCGCCGCCGCCGCGTCGGAATCGGCGTGCTTCCGGAGCCACAGACCGAAACAATCTCCGCGGCACGTGCTTCCGTTTTTCCGAACACGGGCAGACGCAAAATAATTCCCCAGTACGCAATTTATCGATCGGTGTATAATATCGAGCAATTTGGCTAAACGAATCAAATCGCAATTAACAATTCTCTCGGGGGATCGAACGAAACTGCGGCGGTTTCGCGTGGAAAGTGGGCGTCGTCGTGCCCTGTGGCCAGGTAGGTTAAGTTGGCGGTGGTTGCCTGGCAACGGGAACACGTACCGCGGTGTGGCCACTGCACTTGACGCATGCTATGAAAGTAAAAAAATCTCCGACCAAAAACGAAACGAGAAACGCACCACGCTCGCAATTACATATTGTATTTTTTTTTTCGTATGGTACGTTCTTTTGAAGAGGAAAAGCGTAATTACGAACGAGAATAGTGCCGGCGGCTGATATACACATGAAACAATGGTCGTTGTGCTTTTCGCGACGGGGAAAAGAGGCCCGCAGCAAGTTTCGCTCTCGGTCAGAACAAACAAAGGGAGCAGCACGAATTTTCCCCAAATCCGCCCCTGCCGACGCTGAACAGATGCACGTTGATTATATTTGTGTTTATTTTTCTAGCATAGGGTCGCGCTCATTGTGCGGCGACTAATTAATTAATCAATTTGTTCTGTGTGCACTGAGAGCGTCGCCGCCGGAAGAGGGTGAAGAGAGGTCAGATCCGGTCTCGCTGGGGTGCTCTGGTATTCCGAATTATATGTATGGGTTCGAGAAAGAGCAGCAAATCGATGAATAGACAAAGAAAGAGACCCTACTCAATATATGCCCTACATTGCAAATGCTCATTTTTGTATACGTGTGTTAAAGACTAACTCCAATTTCAAATATAATTGGCATTTTACGATTATGGCCTTCAACTCTGGATATTATATTGAATTCTTGAAAAAGATTATTTGTTTTCCGTGATCACGAAATATTGTAATTTTTTATTCAAATTCATAGTGACGTTGGCACTAGGCTTTCCTAATGAAGGACGAAAATGTTTTAAAAATTAAATTAGTGTAACCAATGAATATTTTACTGAAATTTTTAAATGATTTGGAAAAAAAAGCATTATTGTAAGTGTGATAATAAAAAAATAGACGGCTTAAACTGCTTAAGAAAAAACGAAAAAGACTTACACACCAGGTTAACGGAACCTTTGTTATTGAATGATCGTTCATTTGTGTTAGTTAGTCGAGTACAGTAATTTTGAGTCATATTTTCATAGAATTTCATTCAATTTTCAATGTAAAATGATGCTGATTTAATGATCACGTTGTTATTTTAACTCAACTTTAATTAGCGCAAATTGAGGTTAATACAATTCTACAGTGTGCTCAGTATACTAATACTTCAACTTGACCTCATATTCCGAAGAAACGAGACAAGTATCCACTGAGAACATGAATTAAAATGCAATATTGTGGTTCAAATAAAGCCAATTAACTATTTCCAATAAAAAAGGAAAAAATAAGAATTAACTTGTACAGTGCGTATTTTATATTAATTTAAATGAATATGCAAACTTTTCTCAAAACGCCACGTTGTGGCTAAAATCAGAAAGTTCACATTTTTACCATTAACTTTTTTATTATATTGTTGTTTGTGCCTCAAATTTAATTGTTAATTTAACTGCAGAAATTTTTAAATAATCAAGCTTTTTTAATTTGCAAATAAGTATTTCAAAATGCAATCTAACTTTTTTTCACTTCGTATCAAATTTTATCCCCAGCCCGACAATATTCTCCGAGCAAAAGCACAAAAAATGAAAATCTCGGAAAAAGCTTGCAAGATTTTTTGCAAAAATCTCATTTCCCGAGCGCCCTCTCAAAGAGACAAATCCGATCAAGTTACTCTTCTTTTTTTGTCAAAAATCCCTGACGACATGCACTGATCAATATATCCGTCTCGAATCGCAAACAATAGGAACAAGACCAATAGCCGCCCCTGCACGAGCCGGCGGCATTATCATTATTTGCCAACCCCCGTGACGAAAAACTGGATGTGATTACAGTTTGGTTGAGAGAAGCAAAGCGAGTAGAAAAATTGCCTTTTGCCGCGTAGCTTGTATGGCTTGTAATCCTCTTTGGTGAAGAAGCAAGCGAGCGTCTCTTCCAAGCAAGAGTCTAATTCAAATTACCAACAGATCACATGCGTGCCTAGCGTAATAAAACGCAGCAGTCACAGAGTTGGATGGGCCTGACGGACGGACGGGGACTTCCAAGTGTTAATCTCCTTTCTCTTTTAATAATAATCGGCCTGGCTGCCAACAGACAATGTAGATAGGGAGGCCCATTGTAACCCGAGCGAGTGCTGGGCGAAGGAAAAATTCAATTTTCCGCCCCAAATGTTCGGAACAAAACGGATCCGAAATCATTTCCAGCAGCGCTCTATTCAAATTAATTTTAGTGCAGAGAAACTTGAGCCGTTTTAATTAGCATTGGCTTCCTGCGGC